CTAGTTTGCATATCAATTCCAGCTCAGCAGTCTCTCGTTGGAGTCTGTTTTTGAAGTTTTTCTGTTGTAATATAGCCTTATACTTATGCATGAAGGTGTCAAACTCTCTTTTCCTTATCTGTACCTCCACACCCCATAAGTATGTCCTGTTTTTCATAGGTTGTTCTTAGTTCCTCTCATTCTCATTAGCATCTATGCATGCCATGTACTCTGTGGTCAAGACAGTCATTGAAAGATGTTCCAGTCAGGTGTTTCGCGATCTTGAACAATACATTGCGGTCTATTGCAATCCATTTTTTCGTAATATCACCTGTTGGCACATCTTATGAAGTAACCTTGTGATCTTGCTGGCACAGGGTTATTCCTATGTCATCCACTCATGTCAAGTGTTCTTAAGGCTATGGCCTAGTATGGCTAAGCTAAAATCTTATAGGTCTCTGCCTATAGACTTTGCCTTCCAGCCATGCTTTACTTATATACCTAATACACACTCATCACTCCTAAATATTTATCAATCCTATACTTCTATAATCCTACAATTTAAATCTATTTAAATATGAAATGGCATATAAATTGACCATAACATCACATCATACGCTGACAAATGGATGATAACCTGAACTAATTGGTTACAGCCAAAACCCCATTGTGCTAGGTACTGTACAAACAGAACAAAAAGCTGATGTACCCAATGCATCCATGCACAGAGGGGGTCAGTGGCCTGAGTGGTACTGTATTGTATCCCGGTTCCTGCAGAGAGCCTTCTGTGGGTTCAGAAAGCTGCATGTGGAGAGGGATAGATGCTTTGTGTGCACACACTCAGCACCCCAGATACCACCAGGTATTTACCTAAGGCTCCCATAGAGGCAACTGCATTGCATTAGTGCACACACCATGCAGGTAAGGTCGAAGAGCTGTAGAGGGAGCCTCATTGGCACAGCTCTTCTGGCTGGGAGGTGGAAGGGAGACCAGTGGAGGCTTGAATCAATTATTTTAAAAATTACACAATTTGAAACAATCCACTCTATTAAATCAACAACAAAGGTAAGTTAGAAAAAGCAATTCCTCCATGGTTTGAGTTGTTACAAACAATTAATGGAGAAATCATACATTTGCTATATATTAGCCCAGAGTTAGTTTGTTGCCTCTCTCATTCAGACAATTTAAAGCATGGTTCTATCAAAGGATTCTTTGTCAAATTTGCTCAGTCTGTTAAGTTCTTTCTAAGCATCACAAACTCTTCCTGGGATCTGAAAGCCAAGCTGTATTCATTCTGGCTACAGCATCTTTTCTAGTTTGTTTCAGGGGAAGAATCTTTATAACTAATTTGTTAAAGCATGAGCTAGAAAAGCATCTGGCTTGTTCTTTCTAAGCCCTGGCTATGCACTTCTAACAGGAAAGCTTGTGGTGTTTACCAAAGTGAGCAGATAGGACTGTGAAAACGCAAGGAATAGATCTCCTGAGTAGAAACATGTCTTTTTTTTTTTTTTTTTTTTTTTTAAAGCCTGGCTACTTTCCTAACTCTAACTGCACTGCTAAAAGGAATTGACCTTTCAAACAACACTAATGTTTTCGTGTATGTCTAATCTTACATTGCAGGACTTCCAGCCCCCCAAACGACCTTTCAAACGAATGAACTATACGGATGCCATTACATGGCTAAAGGAACACGGTGTGAAGAAGGAAGATGGCACTTACTATGAATTCGGAGAAGTAAGACCCTTTTGCCGTCTATTTTTTTGATATCTTAAAAGAGGTTGGAGCTCAACTCTGAAAGTGTACCATCCTTGTGGTTTCTTTCCTAATTTTGTGACTGAATCATAATGCAGTAAATGCAAACAGTGGTTTTATAAAGTACCTACTGACTATTTTTTGGGTATGGCCTGGTCTTCTAGCTGTCTAAAGGGTAATGTTGATCAGTGGGGCCAGGATTTCTTTAAATCAATGTCTTTGTCCTCCTGAATACTGGGTTTCAGAATCTATTCTCTAGTTTGCAGACATGTGGAGGGAATATGGCTTTTAAGATGCTCTGAGCCTGAGGATCCATAGGGAAATCCACATGAATGGAAGAGGAAACCTAATGCAAACACATCCCCTCTGCATGGCATTCCCTCGTGTGTTGTGCTAACATTTCCTCCCATTACTGTGTACTACACTCGAGGTAGCGCAGGATAAGTGGAAAGAACTGATGCCACTGGGTTTGGAAAGAAGCCTCCCTTGTGGGCAAAAAAAATAGAAATAAAATAAAAATGGCAAAAACACAGTTTAAGATCAAAATTTGGATTAAAACTTTTGGTCAAAAATGTTTCAGAAAATTGAGAAATTTTACTAAAATGTTTTGGTCAAAAAATTGTATTTAGGGTACACTGAGAAATTGTTTTTAAAATGTAAGTTAAAAAATTTGGACAAATTGTATTTTGCTTAAAAAAAAAAAAGTGGCCAAAGTTGTATTTCAGTCAAAAAAACAAGACATTTGGATCAGGAAAATTTTATTATTTTGGCCCCAAAAGCTTTTGATTGAAAAGTACAGAAATTTGGGTCAAAACTTTTGGTGAAAAAGTCCAACCTCCTTCTTCTCATTCTCTTTTAACCTCCAAACTGTGGGTTTTTTCCCCCCTCTGCCCGACTCCTCCCTGTATTTGGGGTCCTTTGCACCCTTTTCTGTGCACAGTAAAGGAGACAAAATTACACTTTTGTGACCTTGACATAGTCCAAATCCTCAGAGGGGCTGTGCCTCTGCAGCTCCTGGTGCAATCAATGAAAGCCCAAGGTGCTCCATCCCTTCTCAGCACCTGGCCCTGAGTTTCTAGTGTCTGGTTTATCTTTCTAAGTTTTGCCACACAATGTGGCATTCTTTATTCATCGCAAATAAGACTGAAGCTGCCTCTGGTTTGAATTGTCATGTCTTTGGTGCTGTCAATGCCTGCCTGAACCCAGAATTGAGAGGGAAATCATGTTATATTTTAGATTTCTAATATAATTTCTACATGTATTTAAATCACAGGCAACAATGGAAGTGAACATTGACCAACACAAATGGTTGTTACAAGCAATGCTTCTTCAATTAATGACAAATGTATCTGTTGGAATTAGACTTAGGCCTGGTCTACGCTACAGAGTTAGGTGAACATAAGGTAGCTTACGTTGACCTAATTATGTCAGTCTACACTACGGCCTTGCTCCCACTGATGTAAGAGCCCTACTACACGGACATAACAACTCTGCTTCCATGAGAGGCATAGGGCTTATGTCAGTTAGTTAGGGTGATGCAGTGCTGGAAATTGACAAGAAAGGCTGTTAGGCTTCCTGCTGTGAACCCTGTGCCTGGCACACAGCTTGGGCTGTCACCTCAGGACAATTGGGCTCCCGGCTCCCAGCCAGGCTACCCCTCTTAAGTTGGTGGAAGCACTGCTGGTGAAGATGTGCACCGCTGAAGGAGGGCAGTGTGGACATGAAACACCGCAGCTGTAAGTCGACCTAACATAGGTTGACTTAAGTTTGTAGTGTAGATGTGCCCTTAGTTTCTTTACATCCTGCACCACCTGTTGCAATCGAAGGCAGCCATTTAGAGAGTGGTCATAAAAGGTGGAATTCCAGCCTGGATGAGTTGAAGCTGTGCTTTGATTTTGATGGAGTTGAGACCCCATGCTGGTGATGTTACATTTTTGTATAAAATAAATGAAATGCTACAAAAAAGGGATATTTCATTGTAGTTGCATTTTATGTTAGATCATGTGAAACATATGTTACCATAGATTTGACTGTATGATACTTAATGATTATTAAATAGTTACTTATAGCATAGGCAGAAGATACTAGCAATCTAATAAGGGTATTAAACTGTGCTTGTTTTTTTATTAATAGTAAAACTGCTGAATTGATTTAAAAAAAACCCCAAAACTTCTGGAGTGTGTATTGCTAGGTGTCCTTCAACATTCCTTAGTAACTTCAAAGTTAGGAAGGTTTTGATGCAGTGGTACATATAATTGGTCTTTAACTGGTCATTCAAGATATTCATATATGCAATATATAGATTAAAGGAAGTGCTTAAACAGTTCTCAGCAGTGAGACCTAATGCCCATGGAATGTATAGCATACCTGGGTTTCAGGGCCAGATAAAACTAGCCTCTGTGTAACAGTAACTGATCATCTGAAAGAACTCCACTCTCTTCTCAGCTTCCAGTCTGGGACTGGCTTAGTTTTTCCTAGTGTCTTAGGGCAGGCCTTCACTACAGGGGGGAGTCGATTTAAGATACGCAAATTCAGCTACGCGAATAGCGTAGCTGAATTCGACCTATCGGAGCCGACTTACCCCGCTGTGAGGACGGCGGCAAAATCGACCTCCGCGGCTCCCCGTCGATGGCGCTTACTCCCGCCTCCGCCGGTGGAGTAAGAGCGTCGATTCGGGGATCGATTGTCGCGTCCCGATGAGACGCGATAATTCGATCCCCGAGAGATCGATTTCTACCCGCCGATTCAGGCGGGTAGTGTAGACCTAGCCTTAGCTATTCCTAGCTGTTACCCTCTGATATGTAGTGAATATTCTGATGCAAAATAATTTTTTCCTGATTTAACTTCTTGGAATTTGATTAAAATTGCTTCTCCTCCACCCCTGCCAAAAGCTTTCCTCATATCTCTGTCGTTATACTGTGTGTTCTTTTTGCTTGACGTCTATAGGCGAAAAGCCTAGTGCTGAACTCAAGCAGTGTGTCTGGCCATAAATGTTGTTAAAATCTTGTTTAACCTCAGGATATCCCAGAAGCTCCCGAGAGAAAGATGACAGACACCATTAATGAACCAATTTTGCTGTGTCGATTTCCTGCAGAGATAAAGTCCTTCTACATGCAGCGTTGTCCTGAGGATTCCCGGCTTACTGAATCTGTCAGTTTGTGTCACAGAGTATTCGTAGTTTCTTTCTGGGAGGGGGATGGTGTGTGAATGCACAGAAAAATGTAATAAATGACTGGGTGGGAGAGTCAAGTGGGATAGCTTTCACTGAAATAATATTTTTTCACGTGTCTGTGCATGGCCTGTTTGCTTTAAAAAAAGAAATATTGAAGTAAATGTATATCTGCCCTGAAAAGAATAAATGTCAGCACTTTACTAGGGCTTTCGTTTAGTCTGATCACACACAAATGCTATATAAAGATAGTATTCAGTCTAGTAGTGGGAGGAAAAGAACAGTCTTACCATTAAAGCACAGGACCAGAAGTCAGGAGAGCTGGGTGCTATTCTTAGCTGTGCTACATTTTGTGTGTATGAGGAAAGATTAAAAAGACAGGGACTACTCAGCTTGGAAAAGAGACGACTAAGGGGGGATATGATAGAGGTCTATAAAATCATGACTGGTGCGGAGAAAGTGAATAGGGGAGTGTTACTTATCCCTTCACATAACACGGGAACTAGGAGTCACCTGATGAAAATAATAGGCAGCAGGTTTAAAATAAAGAAAAGGAGGTGCTTCTTTACACAATACACAGTCATCTGGAATGTGTTGCCAGGGGATGTTGTGGAGGCCAAAAGCATAACTGGGTTAAGAAAAGAATTCGATAGCTTCATGGAGGATAGGTCCAACAATGGCTATTTGCCAAGATGGTCAGGGACGCAACCCCATGCTTCGGGTGTCCCTAAACCTCCAACTGTCAGAAGCTGGGACGGGATGACAGGGGATGGTCACTCAAAATTGCCGGGTTTTGTTCATTCCCTCTGAAGCATCTTGCACTGGCCACTGTCTGAGACAGGATAGTGTGCTAGATGGACAGTTGATCTGACCCAGTAGGGCCATTCTTATGTACTTGGATAAGTCAATCAGCCTCTCTGCTCAAATTCCCCTCCTGTAAAATGGGGCTAATAGGACATGCCATCCTCCTTAGAGTGTGCCTTAGAAGTGCTACCATGCTAACCTTTTAAGCCTATGATTGGTTTTGGGTTGGCTTTTTTTTTCCTGTTGCAAGTAGCTTATATGTAATAGTTTGTGACCTCCTGTCTTGTCTGTTTTAGGTTGATGTATTGATGCCAAATGTTGGTGAGATTGTTGGAGGCTCAATGCGTATCTGGGACAGTGATGAGCTACTAGAGGGTTATAAGCGGGAAGGTATTGACTCCACACCTTACTACTGGTATACAGATCAGGTACGTGAATAGACTTTACTCCCTGCATGTCAAATACAGAGGGTGTGGCTTTTTTCAGATCATGCTAAAATGATAGTAAAAATTAATCTGGGCAGTTTATTTTAGAGAGATCAGGACTTCTCTATCTTTTGGCCACTTGACCCATTGTATCTTGCAATTGGTTGATACCTGTGGCAAGGTAGTTTTTAGGCTATTGAAATTGCTTTTGCTTGCTGCGGTGCATACATCCTCTATTAGAGCTCCCTGCTTAGAGGCTCCAGTGCAGCCTGGAAATGGCTGGGCATGTGAGTGCAAGTCCCTCGGAAAGTCTTCTGTCCCTGCTCTGCCTGTTTGAAAGGCAGTAGTTCCTCTTGGCAACTTCCAAGTATAAAATATTTTTGCTGTTAGTGGACAAAAGAGAAACTTAGTCTGTTGGAAAATTAACAGTCCATCAGCAGTGGTTGCAGGGGGAGGGGAATGGGGTGGAGAAGGACAAAAGGGGGAAAGAAAAGAGTGTAGTGTAAGTCCTCTTTCCTTCCTGCTCCCTCTTTCCCACTCCTCTCTTTCCTGGATAATAAATATCAGGAATCAGACGGACACACACTCATTCAGTGGGATGAGCCCATTTTAGTTTCCCCATTTATCATTTGGGATATGAGCCCCCGAGTGTGATATTTATCCCAGTGTAGATGAGTAACAGGCTGATGAGTTTTAAAAATATTTCCTCTTTGCATTTTGTTCCATAGCGTAAATATGGCACATGCCCTCATGGTGGGTACGGCTTGGGCTTAGAACGCTTCTTAACATGGATTCTGAACAGGCATCACATCCGTGACGTATGTCTGTACCCACGCTTCATCCAACGCTGCAAACCTTAACCACTTCCTCAGGAGAAATTCAACAGAAAATCAAAGCAACTTCTAAAATCCTACATGTGAGGGGGGGAACAGTGCACTATGTCATCCTACAGTCCGTCTAAAGGCAAGAGCTATTGCTCCTTGTTGCTTGAGCCATAAAGTAGTACAATTTTACTAAAACAACTATCTAATGTAGCAGCTGAAAAGGTGAAATTTTGCTTATTTGGAAGGTAAAATCACTTCTAAAAATCTACAGAAAAATTGCTATTTTGTCATTTTAAAAACACCATCTGGTTGGGGCATTGCAGCTTTTAGCTCATAGCAAAGTTTTCATATTAGATTGATATTTGAAACTTGCTGTGTGTACAATACTTAACATGCGACATTTATTTCTCCTCTGACTTTAACATTTAATCTGTATGTATCTTAAAACATTGGGGCACTTGATTTTCTTTTAAAGGTAATTTGGTTTATGTTCTATCTGTGGCTTGGGGGTTGTTTTGGTTAAATTTAAAGGCAGATCATTTAAAGTTACAAATACTGTTGTGTATTAATATGAGAGTGTTCAACACAAGTTTAATAAAGATGGAATCATGTAAACTGTTAAAAATACAATGTTAGAACATTTGGGCCTTCACTTACCCAAGCAAAACTCTCTCTGCAGTCAGAAGGAGTGTAGAATTGAGCACATCCTCCTAATACAAAAAGATCTGCTTTCTTTTGTCAGAGTTCATTCATTTGGAAATGATGACTTCAGTTTTGCAAGGTGCAGAGCACCCTCTGCTGCTTTTGATGTCTGCCAGAGATCAGCAGGCTACACCTTGCAGAACTGGGCCCCTTAACAGGACCAGCCCTTTTACAGCCTACATGCTGAAATAGAGCGAGGTGGATGTGTTCTTAGAATGTTGTGTCTAGCTTCTCCTGTACACCTGCATGTTTGAGCTCCCTTCATCAGTTGGTCACTGTTGCTTGACACATAGGAAGAAAACTGAATTTTAAAGACACTGATACAATTTGGTAACTTTGTTAACTGAAATAGTTTAATTTCAGCATTCTATGATTATTTGGATTAGTGTCCTCTTTAAGAGTATTTTAATCTAAGGAGCATATTTTCATAGGTCAGTAATGTCTTGTCTCCCAGGTGGCTCTGTACTGACTAAAGTTTGGGTAATGGGCTCAGTGTACTGTTTCTGCTTCTCCTCTGTGGGTTCCCTCAATGATTGTAATCAACTGTTACTTAATTATTAAGTGTTTTGAGCTGTCAGAATGCATTTTAGTCATAAATTAGATTAAATCTTACTGGAACAAATAGTAGGTGGATTATTTGAGACCTACTTGGATACTTGCCTTGGGACCTAGTCTGGACTTTTCATCTACGCTGTATTTGTAAACTGTTAAACTTCACATTTATGTAGCAAAACTTTGTTTTTCCTTTTAGAATTTTGCATGTTGCACAATCAGTCCAATCTGCCAGTCAATAAATTTAACATAACATACAAAAATGTGTTCAGGGTAATAACTTTTGGACTGTCCCCTTTTTGTATTTGTCCTTTTGTTTTCCACTGGTATGTTACTTCCTTAACATACTCCACCCCGTCAAAGGACATGTCTACACAGGAAGATTCAGGAAAGTTTAACTGAATTAACTAAAGGTGTGAACTTTAAAGCACATTCATTAAATAAAGTGCATTAAATCTCCTGCTCTCACGCAGAAGTAAAACAGCATTATCGCTTTAGCTTAATCTCCTTTGGGCATAGTTACATGGGGATAAAAAATCGGCAGCTGCCCAGGTCAGCTGACTCGGGCTGACGGCCCACAAGCTCTGGGGCTGAAAAATGGCTGTATAGACGTTTGAGCTTGGGTTGGAGTCCGAGTTTTGGGATCCTTGACTCTCACAGGGGTCCCAGAGCTTGGGCTCCTGTCAAACTCTGAGCCCCGCGAGTCTGAGTCAGCTGACCTGGGACAGCTGCGGCTGTGCTGCAGGGCCTTTATCCCCATGTAGATGGACCCTTTGAAGGCGTTTAAGGCTAAAATGAACTAAGGTTACTTCCGAATGTGTGTCCACACAGGCATTTAATGTGCTTTAACTACTGTACTTTAAATTCATACATTTTAGTTATTTGCCTTAACTTTCCTAAGAGTCTCTGTGTAGACATGCCCGAAGAGAAGTGGGGAACTGCATCATATCTTTATGTGGGAAAATTCCACATGGTGGATAATGTCAAGTGGCCAAGGCATCATCTGTGCTGGGTTTGTATTGGCAGGAGGGAGAGAAGAGTCCCTGATTGAGGCTTAGGTGCTCCAGGAATTGCAGACATCCCATGAAATTCCCACTGTTCCTGTTCAGGAGCCATGCTGCCATTGAAAGCCAACTGCATCGTTTGAGTAGTGCCCCTTCTGAGGAGAGGGTTTAAAAGCTACCGATGAGTTAATGTTGCTCCAAGAAATGAGGATCGCTCAAGTAGCTGATTAGGATGAAGTTTTTTTTTCTTCTCCAAATCCTCCTTTGACCTCACTTCTTCCCCCTTATTATCCACTATTAACTTCCACTCTTTTGTGGCCTATTCCTTTCTTCTGGGCCTTCCGCAGCCTGTATGGAAAAATACCAGACCTTACGAGACTCGCTCACTGTACAATAACTACCGTTAGTTTTGTTTCCTTCATCTATTCTTTTTCCAGGTTCTTCCTGCATTTTTTTGTCTCCATGTTTGTCTGCTTGAGGTTACAAAACTCTTCAGAACAAGGTGGTTGGTATTTTAATCTGTGTAAAAGTCCAGGCAAAGTTGTAATGCTATATAAATATTTAACAACAATAATAGACTTCCCAGGGTTTTGAGGTATTTTATGCTGAATTTATATATAATCTGATGCAGGGGACATAAAAGAAAAAAATCAACATTAGTTGTCTCGTTTTAATATACCATCAGTAGCAACCTCCTTTCAAAATCTCTGCGCTTGACATTCTAAATTATATAAAAATCAGATTATCTTTATATTTAACTAAAAACTGGAAAAATATAATCCCATTTCCTGGAGGGCAAACTAGCCCCGTGGGCCATATCCGGCCCATCAGGGCTTTCAATCTGACCCACGGGATTACCAGCTCTGTGCGGCCCTGGGGGGTGGGGGTGGGGCAGAGGGCTCCATGAGCTGCCCTTGCCTGCAGACACCGCCCCCCCACAGCTCCCATTGGCCGGGAAGGGGAACCACAGCCAATGGGAGCTTTGGTGATGGTACCCACAGGCGAGGGCAACGCGCGGCGGCCCCACCCGCCCCACCCCCAGGAGCCACTGCCGGACATGCTGGCCACTTCTGGGAGCGGCGCAGGGCCAGAGCAGTCAGGTCAGCAGTAAGGTAAGCAGCGCTGAGCCAGAGCCCGCACCCCAACCTCCTGCCCAGAGCCCCTAACCCTCTGCCTTGAGCCCCCTGCTGCACCCTGCATCCCATTTTGCACCCCAACCCCTTGCCCTGAGCCCCTTCCTGCAAACCGTACCCCCTCCCGCACCCCAACCCCCTCCCCCAGCCCTACATTCATGGCGCTGCATACAATTTCCCCACCCAGATGTGGCCCTCAGGCCAAAAAGTTTGACCACCCCAGGGCTAGGTACATCCAGAGCATACTGTTGCATCCCTCATCATCTTGGCTAATAGTCATTGATGGACCTATCCTCCATGAATTTATGTAGTTCTTTTTTGAACCTTGTTATAGTTTTGGCCTTCACAACATTCGTGGCAATGAGTTCCACATGACTGTGAGTTGTGTAAAGGAACGCCTTTGTTTGTTTTAAACCTGCTTCCTGTTTATTTCATTGGGTTACCCCTGGTTCTTGTGTTATGTGAAGGAGTAAATAATGCATCCTTATTCCCTTTCTTCACACGGTTTGTGATTTTTATAAACCTCTATCCTAACCCCCCTTAGTTATCTCTTTTCCAAGCTGAAAAGTCCCAGTCTTGTTAATCTCGCCTCATCTGGAAGCTGTTCTATACCCTTAATCATTTTTATTGCCCTTTTCTGTACCTTTTCCAATTCTAATATATTGTTTCTGAGATGGGGTGATTAGAACAGCGCACAGTATTCAAGGTGTGGGTGGAGCCTGGATATATGTAGTGGCATTGTGATATTTTCTCTTATACATCTTTCCTTCTTTGTCCAGCTTTCTAATGTTTAAAATCAGGACTCTTGGACTAGCACCCTGGTTCTCAACCAGGGGTACGCAGAGGTTTTCCAGGGGGGTATATCGACTCCTCTACATATTTGCCTAGTTTTACAACAGGCTACATAAAAAGCACTAGTGAAGTCAGTACAAACTTAAAATTTCATAGACAGTGGGCTTTATATTGCTCTATATACCACACACTGAAATGTAAGTACAATATTTATATTACAATTGATTTGTTTTATAATGACATGGTAAAAATGAGACAGTCAATAATTTTTCAGTAATAGTGTGCTGTGACATTTTGTATTTTTGTCTGATTTTGTAAGCAAGTAGTTTTTAAGTGAGGTGTAACTTGGGGGTACATAAGACAAATCAGACTCCTGAAAGGGGTACAGTAGTCTGGAAAGGTTGAGAGCCCCTGTTCTAGCACAGTCACATTAAATGCTCTTTATGTCAAGTGATGGAAGAGATCTTTAGGATTGTTCAGTCATTAAGAGCAAACATGGCCACAAGTGCTGGGATGTAAGCTTGGTAGAAATTTGTTTCCATGCCTTGAAGACAATTGCTTCTCCTTTTAATCTCTGTAGTCCTTACTGTCAGATAAACTCAGTGATGCTAACATGATGAGCTAAACTATTGTGCCAAGCATCTGAATGTATCATTAAACATGAGCTAAGAATCTAATTTATAATTTATGTGGGGGGAGGGAGGTCTGAACACAGCTATTTTGAAATCTGCAGACCAAGACTAAACTATATATAAAAGCACTCAAGAATGTAACAAACTCAGCACTGAGACACAATTTATAATAACATGTTTTTGTTTTTTTACAAGAGACCATAGCCCGGCTCCACATAGGCATTGCAACTAACTTTTAGGCAGCGAGCCACCCATTGGAATCTGAAAACCTTGGGTTAGGCACCTAGGCTCCCTGTACAATGAATGGGGAGAGACACACCTGAAAATGGGATCCACAAATGCCAGCACCCTGAGGGGGGAGCCACCTAAGCTAGCCAACAGCAGATGCCAGTGAAAGGGGTGTGTCCTAAGCCCCCTCCCTCTCAGGGAGTTAGGCACCTACGTCTGGGCTTCAAGGAGATGCCTATCTCTGCTTGCGATTAATAGCCAGGAACCCTCTCCCTGCATCAGGCACCTAAGTTTTTCTTCCAAGAGCAGCAGTGGTGCATGCCAACTCGGCACAAGTGGACTCCCTTATAGCCTTTACCCAGCGGTTAGAACACTCACCCCGGATATTCCATTCCCCCCTAGCCCTTTGACTATGGGACATTCTGATGTGGGTTTCTCTCAATCTCTACTGTTCAAGCTATTTGACTTGGTTTAAATACAGTAGACTCTGCTTATTAGCAACCCCTCAGTTGCTAGCAAAAAGTTGCTATTATCCCAGCAGTTACTAATAAGTAGGGCTGTCAAGTGATTTAAAAAATTAATCACTATTAATCACATGATTTTTAAAAAAAAAGTGTGTGGTTAATTGTGCTGTTAAACAATAATAGAATACTATTTAAATATTTTTGGATGTTTTCTACATTTTCAAATGTATCTATTTCAATTACAACACAGAATACAAAGTGTAGAGTGCTCACTTTATATTTATTTTTATTACAAATATTTGCACTGTAAAAAAACCAAAAGAAATAGTATTTTTCAATTCACCTAATACAAGTATTGTAGTGCAATCTCTTTATCCTGAAAGTGCAACTTACAAATGTAGAATTATGTACAAAAGATAACTGCATTCAAAAATAAAACACAATGTAAAACTTTAGAGTATACAAGTCCATTCAGTCCTACTTCTTGTTCAGCTAATTGCTCAGACAAACAAGTTGGTTTACAGTTGCAGGAGATAATGCTGCCCGCTTCTTGTTTACAATGTCACTTGAAAGTGAGAACTGGCGTTCGCATGGCACTTTTGTAGCCGGCATTGCAAGGTATTTACGTGCCAGACATGCTAAACATTCGTATACCCCTTCATGCTTCGGCCACCAATCCAGAGGACATGCTTCCATGCTGATGACACTTGTTAAAAAAATAATGCATTAATTAAATTTCTGACTAAACTCCTTGGGGGGAGAATTGTATGTTCCTGCTCTGTTTTACCTGAATTCTACCATATATTTCATGTTATAGCAGTCTTGGATAATGACCTAGCACATGTTGTTCGTTTTAAGAACGCTTTCACTGCAGATTTCACAAAACACAGAGGGTACCAATGTGAGATTTCTAAAAATAGCTATAGCACTCGACCCAAGGTTAAAGAATCTGAAGGCCTTCCAAAATCTGAGAGGGACGAGGTGTGGAGTATGCTTTCAGAAATCTTAAAAGAGAAACTATAGAACCTGAACCACCAAAAAAATAAAATCAACCTTCTGCTGGTGGCATCTGACTCAGATGATGAAAATGAACATGCATTAGTCTGTACTGCTTTGGATCATTATCAAGTAGAACAGTCATCAGCATGGACGTATGTCCTCTGGAATGGTGATTGAAGCATGAAGGGACATATAAATCTTTAGTGCATCTGGCATGTAAATATCTTGCAATGCCAGCTACAACAGTTCCATGTGAATGCCTGTTCTCACTTTCAGATGACATTGTAAACAAGAAGCGGGTAGCATTATCTCCTGCAAATGTAAACAAACTTGTTTGTCTGAGCAATTGGCTAATCAAGAAGTAGGACTGAGTGGACTTGTATTCTCTAAAGTTTTACATTGTTTTGGTTTTGAGTGCAGTTATGTAACAAAAAAAATCTACATTTCTAAGTTGCACTTCAGGATAAAGAGAGTGCACTACAGTACTTGGATGAGGTGAATTGCAAAATACTATTTCTTTTGTTTCTCATTTTTATAGTGCAAATATTTGTAATAAAAATATAAAGTGAGCACTGTACACTGTATTCTGTATTGTAATTGAAATTAATATATATGAAAATGTAGAAAAACATCCAAAAATCTTTAATGTCAATCAATATTCTATAACAGTGTGATTAAAACTGATTACGTGTGATTAATTTTTTAAATCACAGTTAATTTTTTTGCATTAATTGAGTGAGTTAACTGTGATTAATTGACTGTACTAATAAGCCAAAGGCATGTTTGTAGAGGCAGCAACCAGGGACAGAAGCACTGAGACATGCCTTCCCTGGCTGCAGCCCTGCAAACCAGCCTGCATAGAGGGCAGCAGATACTGGGGCTTTTCATGGGGAATGGGTACTGGGCCCACAGAGCTGCATGTTGCTTCTTGCATGCTCCGGGGGTGTCAGGACTCAGCACATCCCAGCGTTTCCTTCCCTGTGAGAAGTCCCCTGGCAGGGTGCAGCTGGAGAGAGGGTTGCCACGTTTGTAATATTTAAAAACTGGACACACTAGCAGGAGTGCCAGAACCTCCTCTTCCTCCTGAGGCCCTGCTCCTTACCCCCAAGGGTCTGCCCCCATCTTGTGCCTCTTCCCACCCCCCGCCTTCCCACCTTTACTCCACACAGTCAGACTATGAGAATACACAGCATTCTCCATGAGGTTTGACCAGATGGGTGGCTCATTCCATCTACCTCAAAGGATTCTCATTGAACCAGCCTCTAGGGATTCCACTAGTGCTCCTTACATCTGCATTGCAGGCCTTTGTGTGGTAGCTCTCTCTGATGTACAAACACTCCTTTATCCACTAGTCCAATAGCTCTCAAACTTTCCAGACTACTGTACCCCTTTCAGTATCCCCAAGTTACATCTCACTTAAAAACTACTTGCTTACAAAATCAGACATAAAAATACAAGTGTCACAGCACACTATTACTGAAAAATTGCTTACATTCTCATTTATACCATACCATATCATGATAAAATAAATCAATTGGAATATAAATATTGTACTTACATTTCAGTGTATAGTATATAGAGCAATAAAAACAAGTCATTGTCTCTATAAATTTTAGTTTGTACTGACTTCAATAGTGCTTTATGTAGCCTGTTGTAAAACTACGCAAATATGTAGAGGAGTTGATGTACCCCCAGAAGACCTCTGCATACATCCCGGGGTACACATACCCCTGGTTGAGAACCACGGTGCTAAAAGACAAGTAAATCTAAAAACAAAAATGAAAGCAAGAAATGCATGTCCAGCGTCTCTAAAAGAAAAGTTGGTAAAGTTCCCTGATTCGTTCTAAGATATCTGATCGCTATAGTTCTCCCAAATAAGGAGAGACAAATAAGTGAATTGTTTTTAGAGCATCTATTAGATAAATAAATAATTTGTTTTGTCTCGAGGTTAGATAAACGAAACAGGGTTTGCGGTACTGATCATGTTCATTTTCTTTTTAAATTAATTTAAAACACCACACTTCAACAAAGAAATGAAGCTGTCAGGGAATTTTCACTCAGCTGCGCAAGTGTGGTGTAGAATTCAGAGACCTTGCTGCAAAATGTAGGTCTAGTTTGGTGCGCGGCCTTATTATTATATATACATTATGGCAATGCCTAGTGGCCCCGGATGAGATCATAGCTTCATTGTGCTAAATGCTGTACATACACATAGTGAGAGCTAGTCATTGCCTGAAAAAAGTTTACACTCTAAATAGACAAGACAGGAAAAGAGTGTAGGGGAAATAGAGTCACAGAAAGCTTACCCTGCAAATCAGTGGTAGAAATAGAATCAGTGTAGCCTGACATCCAGTTCAGTGTCCTATCCACTAAACCATGCCACCTCTGGTTAATATACTGCATGTATATTAACACAATATTATGACATGAATACAATGTAAAAGTACAACCAGGCCTGTAATGGTATGCAGAGGTGCTAGAGGTCATAAATCTAGACGTGGGTTTCTGCTACCCAGCAGAGGGACTTTGTTCCTCTCTGTGTGTGAAGGGAATCTCATCATAAATAATGTATCCAATAAACAGTGTGTATTCAACTGTGCAGTGTGCAGCCTCAATGCAAAGCTTCCCTACAGTGCCCTGTCAATGGCAAATTTTATGCGTTGAAAAGAGTATTCTTTCTATCCACTAGAGAAGATTTCAGTCTGCAGAGCACAGAAGTGCCAATCATGGCAAATAACGATTCAGATTTTATTCCCGGAGCATTGAGCTGAAATCAAGATTCATTTTATTTAGGACTACAGGCTGATAGCAGATATGTGGTCCCATTTGCGCCAAGCTAGAGCATTATCTACTAATTAAGCCTCCCAACCTCAGGTAAAGTCTCCCTTGCCACTCCCCACCCCGAATTCCCTGGTTATGTGAATGCACACAGATTATTGCTTTCTGATGATCTCCGATTTTTTGTTCCTCGTTTGCATTCTCAAATATCTCCTCCCCACCCCCCTGCTTTCCTTAAATAAATACAAAGTACTGGGCTGTGATTTCATCATGGCAATGTAAAGAATAGCTTAAAGAAAGCGATCATGGTGCAAAGCGTTGCTTAGTGCACTACAGAAAGGTGCTCAGCTGCTATGCTGTGAGGACAGTAAAAGAACCTACATAGACTAGAAAGGGCAAAATTCAGAGAAACACTTTGTCATGTAAATAAATGGAAAATGCACAGGTATTGCTTTTGTACCCAAATTAACCCTTATTCCTCCTTATTAGTGTACATAACAAGGACATGTACTCAGATAACATTTCTAAACAAGAGCTGCCATGAGAGAACCTACTTTTACAACTCAGCCTTCCAACTTTTCCCTTTACGTAAAGGAGAGTAGAACCTCCAATGCCTCTTGGGGAATTAAAGGGGCACAGTCAATTTAAAAATCAGACTTCTTTTTAAGCTGTTGTTACAAGTATCACTTAAGGTTACTATGACTGACAGCAGAATAAGATATTTTTCTGTTTTTTTTTCATGTTGTTTACTATGTATATAGTTCATTTCACTGTTTCCCTTGTCTAATCAGTCACTTCATTCTGTTTGTGTGGATTTTTCACATAGCAGCAGGGAGAGCAAAATGTAGTTGAAAATCCACAAAAATTAGCGAAGGGACTCACAGGCAGGTCTAGTATCGAAAACTACATCTAAGTTATTTATTTTAAAAAGAACAGGAGTACTTGTGGCACCTTAGAGACTAACACATTTATTTGAGCATAAGCTTTCGTGGGCTACAGCCCACTTCTTCGGATGCATAGAATGGAACATATATTGAGGAGATATATACACACACACACATACAGAGAGCATGAACAGGTGGGAGTTGTCTTACCACCTCTGAGAGGCCAATTAACTAAGAGAAAAAAAACTTTTGAAGTGATAATCAAGATAGCCCAGTACAGACAGGTTGATAAGAAGTGTGAGAGTACTGTACTGTGCATCCGAAGAAGTGGGTTGTAGCCCACGAAAGCTTATGCTCAAATAAATGTGTTAGTCTCTAAGGTACCACAAGCACTCCTGTTCTTTTTGTGGATACAGACTAACACGGCTGCTACTCTGAAACCTGTTGTTATTTTAAGTTGACTGTGTCCCTTTAGAGCATCCTTTGTGTGTCCAGAATGAGGCAGCATAGTCTATTTGATAGGGAATTGTACCTGGAGTGAGGTAACTTGGGTTCTGTTCGCAGCTTTGCAGTGTGGTTCATTCATTTGCAGTGTGACATAAGGCAAGTCACTTAGCTTCCCTCAGCCTGGAGACAAGCTGCATTTACCCTGTGGCAATCAAGAAGAATTCAGCTTATTACATCTGTGAATTTACCAATCATACTCAAATTCATTTTTGTGTACATAAGAAAGCTAAGTAAAAGAGAAACCGATTTGGACCTCAGTTACCCTATCAAAACATGAATTATTTCCCAGTGAAATTATTAAAATGACCTAAATACACTATGACCTAGAATCTGCATTCTTGATTCATATTTATATCGCTGAAGTGTGTTAAATAGTTAGCCATGTGAAATGTGACAGAGGACTAACACACACAACATTTTTTTCTCCCAGTTGTCTGTCTACATAGCTGCTGTATTGCATCGCTCTCACATGTAAGACAGGAGGGTGACTGCTGGAGATTTTAAAACCATCTAAAGAATACCTGGTAGGCTTTTGTTAAACATTACAAAGGAACAGCTGTTCCAATAAAAGTAGTAATTATAAAGTAGGCACTCAAAAATAAACAGGAATTAAGAGATTCAGCGAGCATCTCCTCTAGAACAAGGGCCTGATGCGGCAAACCTCGCCTCCAATGAGTAATGTACTAAACTCAATGACAGAATTCATGTGAATACTCCAGTGAGTAAAAGACTGCAGGAGTAAGCCTAGAATGTTTGTGAAAAGAGGAGTTTCCTGGCTCACAAAATAGGGGCCCAATCTGGCAACACTTTCTCACATGAGTAGCCATTATGCAAGAAATCCCTTTGGAGACAATGGGGCTGGTTGCATGAAATAACAATGAAGGACTGGACACTAACTCAACATCAGATTATGCCCCATTATCAGTCACCAACTCTCTCATGATTCTGTTTCAGTCTCATGGCTTTGGTGTTTTCCTTAAGGCCCCAGCTCCTGAAGCCATGTAAATACAAGAGCATATCAGCTTTATTTTTATTTTTTTAAGTACGTGTTTAGCTTTTTTGGCTGCAAAGAAAAGTTTGAAAATGTGACCCAATGTAACCTAAAGCCTCGAAACCACAAGGCGGCTAAAAAGAACCCAGTTTTTAAAAAAAATCTTGTGATTTTTAAGCCACTCCATGCATTTTGAACACTTGGGATTGACAATAACTGTTATATAGAAATATAGCAATATCCGTACCAGAACAGGCCACTAGGCCATCTATTCTAATATTCTGCCTGTAGCAGTGGCATTTAGATTCTACTGAATACTTCAATGAAAGACAACTCTCTGCTCTAACCCATAATGCAGCTAAGCAGTTGCAAAATACTATAATCTTTGGCAGGGATGATTTACAGCTGTAGGGATTATGTCCATTGTTAGGAAGAAGCTTTATGAACTCATCCTGCCAATTTTTTCCTTTGTTAATGAAATCCTAGTTACGTAATTAGTAAATAATGGGAATTAGCTTTTTGAGAATCTGCAACAGGAACAGAATGGAACTATCACATTTCCTAGCATTTACTTGCTAGAGTTTTATTGGCTGCTTTGACTGTTCTAATAACGGATTGAACTTCTTTTGAACAACATGACATTGAGGCATGAGAATATCCCTGGTATGGCAAAATGGGGCAGGGTAGAAGTCTATTTGACGTGCCCTTCATTCCATCAGGTACCTGGGCTATTAAAAAGTTCTGTGTTGTTATGAGAGAACTACAACTAAAGTGACATTGTTGCCAATGAAAGTAGATTCGGGTGCAGAGTTCCAGAAACGAAAGAGCAGTAGGATGAACAAAAGGTGGCGGTCATGATAAGAGAAATATGATTTCCAACTGTTCTTGTATAAACTGTGAAATGCCAAAGACAAGGAACAGTTAGGTAGGTGGTTTGTGGACAAGGGGCATGGCTACTTACTTTGCATTTATAGGAGCCAGGATGAGAGACCTGCTTGTAAACATAACAACCTGGGAACAGCTTTGAAATAGTGACCAAGACCTGGCTGGGTTTACAATGTAGGCTCAGGGAAAGTGTTCCCCCTCTTCCCCCCGTTAGCATTTTGTTAATTCTATAGATCCCTGTCCCAAGGATCCTACAATCTGAAAATAAACAAATATCCCACAAAATATAGAAGTATTCATGCATTACTGAGCAAAATCAACTGGGGAAAAAAGGAATGGGAAAGTGGCCCTGGGAAGACAAGAATGAGTCAGAGAGAGAGAGATGTGTGGTCTGAGTTGAGCACACAATTGTGAGCTGAGAATTCCCACTTCTAATTCTGAATTCTAGCCCTGGCTCTGACACTGATACAGGCAATCCCCTATTCCTGTCACATACACCCCTCACTCCTGAGTCCCCAGACTTTCTCCCATGCACCTTACCAATTGCAGCCTTTCAGCAATATCTCTTGGGGATGGGCAGTTCATTGCCCAGGGTCTTTGAATGAGTCCTCCGGTTGATGACTTGGAGGAATATTCTAGCTCTTCTTCATGAACTAGCCCCAAACATCTTAAAGGCTAAATCTCTCTTAAAGAAAGCAATTTAGTCAGAGAAAAAACTATATCTAATGTCATGAGGCAGACAACTTAGCTACATCAGAGCCAGTGTTTACTTACATTGTATTGCCAACTTCAAGAGGATCAAAAATCATGAGTCGGACCCCGCCCCCAAAATCGTGACATTTTAATAAAATATTATATTGTGTTTTTTAGGTCAGTCTCTTGATTTTTGACCTCCCCTTGCCCATCCCTGGGGCATGTGCATGTGACAATTAGTGTTGCCCACTTTCCCACATGTACTAGATACGGTGATTTTTTTTTGGCCCCTGCTGCAGGAGCTCTCTTACCCCCACATCTGCCTGACTCCTGCCCAGCAATTAATCCTGTCCCCCATCATCACCACCCCAACAGTTCAGCCCCCCTGCCCCATCGACCCCCACCACCCTCTGTTCACCCTCCCAGCACTTACCCATCTGCTCAGAACCCACCATCAATACAACCCTCCCACCTCATGAGCCCTCACTCTCCTCACTTCAGCCTCAGGGCAGCCTCTAGCTTCACCTCTGCTTCTTAGGGTTCATCACCCTCCCCTGGCCTGGGGGAGTGGGGAAGCTGCAGTGGGGTCCTCTCTTCCACTTCCCAGGCTGGCAGGAGAGCAGCTGCTGGGGGCTGCTGACAGGATTTCTAAGCAAAATTAAGCCTGACTTTTAGAATGCTCAACTGTCAGATTCCAAATGTACTTTGGAACTAACTGCCTAGTGGAGAAGCCACATTCCTTTGGTTAGGGTGGGGTAACTCCTGTTTGACAGGAAACACATTAAACTGTGCCCTGGCTGGAAAAAAAATCCTGACAGTTGAGAACTGTATCATGAGATCATGAGTGAGGCTTAGGCCATGTCTATATAGGTACAGCACTGCAGCAGCACAATACAGCTGCAGCGCGTCTGGTGAAGATGCTCTATAGCAATGGGAGAGAGCACTTAGATCAAGAAATCCAATATATACAATACAGAGAGGCAGGAAATGAATTTTTTTCCTGTGACATTTTTTAACAAACACAATTACTTGTTCTTTAATTTTTGTCAAAAGCCTGTTTTTCTTTGGGAAAAAATCAAAACATTTTGATGGACAATTTGTGACCATCTCTAATTTACAATGAAAGGCAGATTGCTTAAGAAGTGATGACAAGCAATAAAGATTTTACAAATATATAGAGCAAGAAGCAACAGGGAGGGTATGGCTCCCTGAGGGGATGGTGAGGCAAATGGTGACAGTACAAGTAGTTATTACGGAAACCTGAAGGACTTCTGTGAGGCAGTGGGGGGAACATGCTACTGAAAGGTTTCTAGAGGAAGTAAAACTTTGGCTTCAACTACACACAAAAGAAATTGTGGTTTAACTATACTAGTATAGTTAAAGAAATACAACTCCCCTGGTGTGGACAGTTATATCCATATGAAAATGCTTATATACAGCTATTCACACAAGGGGAAAAAGCTACTCCAGTATAAGCATATTTATATTGGTATAACTGCATCCTACGCTAGGGGTTGTACCAGTATAACTATTTTGGTACAAATCACCACCCTACCTGACATAGTTCTACCATACAAAATCTTGGTATAAATCAAGTCTTGCTGCAACAAAGAATTTCACTAAAGCTGGTCAAAAATTTTCCAGCAGACCATTTTTCCATTGGAAAGTGCCATTCCATTCAAATTGAGACTTTCTGCAGGAACATGTCAATTTTGATGAAATTTCATTTTGGAATAAAAAAAGGAAAAGAATCACTTTGATGAGGTTGAAATGTTCCTGTTTTGACTTATCAGAATGGAGCATTTCAATGTTTCATTTCAAAACAACTTCTCATTTTGAAATGTATTTTATTTGCTATGTTATTATGCAATATGATAAATTTATAAATAATATAAAATAAAAAAATCAAAGTAAGAATGAAACATTTTTATTGTATTAAAACAGAACATTTATATTGACCCCAAACACAACATTTCAGAAAATTTCATTTTATGGAACATTTTGAAATTTGTTGATTTTCTTCCAATTTGATATGAAAACAAAATTCAAAACATCAGAATTTCCTGTGGAACAGACATTCTGAGTTTCTGCCAGCTCTAGATCTCACCATGTTAAAAAACCAACAGAGCAATTGAAAATAGATGCTGCAGGACTGGAGGTTTGAGAAATGCCAGAATTCTGAAAGAGACAGCAAACACAAAAGGAGGAGCAGAAGGAGATAGTTTTCAGTTCTCATTAGAGAGCAGAGCGAAGAGGTATATCTTGGGATTTCAGAGAAGTTATCTTTGACGCTCCTGTTTAAAAAGGGATTAAGGGAAGATCTGGGAAGCTTAAAAACATGGGAGTATGACCTCTGTATCGCTGAGAGAGAGTCTACTGTATAATTATTGATTAAGAAAAGAAAACAGAATACTTAGACAAGCAGGGCCGGCTCCAGGCACCAGCGCAGCAAGCTGGTGCTTGGGGCGGCCCATGGAAGGGTGTGGCATGTCTGGGTATTCGGCAGCAATTCAGCGGCGGATCCCTCAGTCCCTCTCGGAGGGAAGGACTGACCGTCGAATTGCCGCTGAAGATTGAAGCAGCGCGGGAGAGCAGCCGCTGAAGTGCCGCCGATCGCAGATTTTTTTCCCCCTCTTCGCAGCTTGAGGTGGCAAAAAAGCTAGAGCTGGCCCTGTAGACAGGTGTATGGTAGCCAAAAACCCATGAAACTGGATAATTTCAAGGATTGGTAATAGTACTGTATTGAGAGCCTTATGTCTGTAGGGCATATCTACCTGAGGTAGGGATTGAAAGTCATTACCATTTATTGACTCTTTAGCAGTTTAGATGAAATGAACCGATGGTCTCAGTTCAGTTCCTAGTGAATAGCTTTCAACATCACAGAAATCACTATTAGAACTGACACTGGCAGGAGAGAGGCCAAGGTTTGAATAAGCAGAGATTAACCTGCTCTCTCATCCCTACCAGTGGTCCTACTAGACCAGGTTTAAGATGAGGTAGCAGGGGAGCTTGCACTCCTCCCTTTTGCTAAAGCTGGTCTGAGGCTGGATAGAGAACTTCAAGAAGCAGTAAATTAGCTTAACTGTGAGTTAAAGTTGCTAGACTGTATAACTCACCAACACAAATCCTAAAAAGAAATGAAATAATCTCCGATCTAAACCGTACTATTTAGTTCTCTTTCTCTGCCTCCACTGCTTTGGTTCCCCCATCCACAGCACACAAATCGACAGCCTCATCCTGAACATAAGTTTTCTATCTTTCTCTCTTGGCCTTCCATAAACAACTGTGTTACATGGTGGAAAGATATATGGCATCATTAGTTTTAGTAATATTTTGAAATATGAAATAAAGAGCCGATCTGAGACAATAAGAAAAGCACAGATAATTCATCTCAAGCTTATCCTTCATGCTTAGAAGGCCCCTCTGCTCTGCCCTCTTTTTTTTCTTTCTCTCTCCTCTGATGGGAAGTTTTTAATCATAAACCTCTTTAACAATTTAAAAAATCTGGCTACTTTCTGATCCATCCCCTTTATAGCAAAAAGATAAAGTTTAATTGACCTTCTGGCTAGATCCTTATTGGTTATTTGAAAAGTGCATCCTAGACAAGTTTAGATGGGGGTAACACCAACTGATGTGTCTCCACTGTGTGTATTTGGTTGTCTGAATTTAAGATTATTTTATTGCCCTTTGATATTTGGGCAGTCTAGACACATCAACTATGCTATAATAGTTAATGTTTCTGGCCTTTTGGACACAATAGGACTTTCTGAGGGGTGGCATGTTTACTGACCTGATACAATCACCACACTTACCCTTGTTTAATATCCTTGAATATGAGCATGTTTATGCCAGTTTCCCCAAATACAATACATCCCCCACCAAGACATGACAGAGTCAATTAATACACACCTCGGGCCTTTGAATGAACTTAGCCTGTGGCCTAAACCTCAGACAGTGTGTGAAATGTGCATTAATGGCCCCAGAAAATACACCATGGAGTATTGGATTGCTTAATTATAAAACAGACAGAGGAACTGAGTGATCTGATGGAGTGTAAGAATTCTGAACTATTATTGTCATCAGTAAAATCCATCTACTGCCTTGAATTTTGAATTGTTCTGGTTATTACAAACAGATCAGAATGTAGGAAACTCTATTTTGACTATTTTAATATTCTTTAAAACCAATGTTTTATAATTGCAATAAGATACTCCATTACCTGAGCTGGGATACATTTTAATGCATGCCTTGTATTGTACCTACCAAAAAATGAGGGATCTGATCCTGTCCCTTCATCACAAAAGTAGTCCTTTCTCCCCTAAATAATCCTGTGGAGTTCTGTACTATGCATGTAATATTGCTCCCCTGGGTGGGTTACCAGTAATCAAACCTGGAACTTCTGGATTTTAAAGCATGAGCCAGTACTAATCTGAACTAAGAGATTCATCTCTGTTAGCGAAGCCTGTAGGAGACTCATCAACTTCTAGATGTGGCCCAGTTACCACTAGAGGGAGACAGAGGACCACATTGATTGGGGTTACTTCTACTTCTTCCAGTGATGGTCCCTATTGTATTCCACTGAGGGCTTATGCATGCGCCCCAGGCATCTGGAGTCAGAAAATTTAAAAGTAGTGTCCTTCGGCTTGCATACGTGCCCTGGTTCACCTCTTGCTTCCATCCAAGGTGATAAAGGTCGGGGTGGACTGACTACGTCTCCAGTTCTTTCTTACCGCCACATGGTCCGGATCGGAACTTCCAGTGTCCTTGTTTCTGACGCAGCTTTAAATACATACTTCTAAACATGTATGTATTTAATATATGTAATGTAAACATGTATGTATCTAATATTCTAATATTTAGAATATTAGAGTTTTGTTGTAGTTTATCGTAGTTTTTAGTGATTAGTGTAGATAGATTGGGGGGTTCTCCCCCCCCCGCCCCCAGTCCTCGTATCCACGTGCAGGTACCGGACTATGCTCAGGACCTGGGCTTTAAACTCTGTGCCTCCTCCTGCCCATGCTCCTTCTCGGCCAGCGATGAACTCCAATGCTGCCTCTACTGCTTGGGGGAAGCTCACATTGCATCCAGGTGCACTACAGTATCTGCCAGTCCTTCCCCAGCCCTACCCGAGAAGCCCAGGCTCTCTGCCTCTGGAAGCACCTCATGGAAGTCGCCATGAGGCCTCACTCGGACCCAGGCCAGAGGACCCCCTTGTACATCGGCCATAAATGGCATGGAGTACACTTCCTGCTACTGAGTCCAAATCCAGCACTGGCAGTATCACCACTATGGACCTCATGCCAGGGCCTAGTCGGGAGGTAAGGAAGCATACCCATAAGCATGGAAATAAGTCTTCCTCAAAAGCGAAGAAGTGCATGCCCCTTCCATGCATTCGAACCATGGAAATGGGGCATGCACAAAATCTCAGACACAAAAAGTCCCACAAGCAGGGGGAGCCAGTGGTTCCAAGCGCCGACCAACTGATACTGTCAACATTGGTGCCCCATAAGATGCAGGATCCATTGACTCCGGGGAAGTTCACCTTGGCACCACCACTGACACCGAGTAAAGAGAAGGTACCGCTGACACCAGGGAGATCCAGAACTATGTTTGAGCCCAGGATGTATTCGCCTTAACAGAGCCAGGATCACTCCATCTGTCAGGGCCTTTCTACCTCTAGGGAGGCTATTTCTCCCCCTTGTGATCTGCCACCACTGTGGGATCTCTTGCC